CTCTCTCTCACATTCACTCTCTCTGTCACACTGTCCCCCTCTCTCTCTCTCACATTCACTCTCTCTGTCACACTGTCCCCCTCTCCCTCTCTCTCCCTCTCTCTCCCTCTCTCTCTCTCCCTCCCTCCCTCTCTCTCTCTCGTACCATCAAGTTGGAACTGACCCATGGCAGCCCCTCCAGCAGGCTTTCAGAGGCAGTGAATTGTCTAGGAGATCTTTGTCCCAAGGAGCAGCTGATGGATTTTATCTGCATGCCTTTGCCTTTGCAGCTCAGTTCCTTTCCACTGCTTACATGTGCTCCCTGTATACCCCCCCCCAGAGCTGTAAATGTGACTCATTGTATCTTAAAGTGTTACAAGTTGACAGCTACCCATACTCTGATATCCTCAATGACTGTGCATTTGGACCATCATAAATGCTAAGAATTTCTCTTCTTTGTGGCTTGAGAGTGACCCGTCCTGGTTCCCCTTTACATAAGAAAGGTTTGTCTTTTGCTGAGATTTACCCACAGCACCTGAAGGAGACTTTGCAGAGGCCACAGCAGTGCCCGGCTTCTCTCTGATTACAGGTTGTCCATCCACCAAGCCAGAGACAGCCGTCCAGTTAGAAAAAGACAGACAGAGGCCAGGAGCCAGGCCCTTCCCACGCCAGAGCAGTCCCGGTGAGTGCCACACTCTTACTTGCACACTTAGTGGACGTGAGTCCCGACGGGTCACTGAAGGCTTGGAACCCTGGTTAAATTTTTCTGTACTATCCCTTATGGTCTGTGTGCCGCTGAGTGTGACTGGGAGTGAGTGAGGGGAGGTGCTCAGTGTGAATAGTGCCTCTTTCCCTTAGCAGCCGTCCATGGAAGCTGTGCTGCCTTCTGGCTAATCGGCTGCTTGTCCGGACCCCCTTCTCTTAACCTTCTCGTGCTCCTCTTCTCTGGGCCTTTCAGGCTTCTGTGGCCTCTTCCCCACGTTAACCACACCCTGTCTCTCCTTCATTCTGTTTTCTTTTCCCGTTACCGCATCTCTCAGCTTTCTAGCTCCCTTCTGTATTGTCTGGGAAACCCCGTCCCTGTCCAGCTCACGGTGATGATAGAAATCGTTGGCTTATCTTTCTAGAAGTAAACTGGCAAGTTCCAGCTTGCTCCCAGGAGGCTGTTGAGAAGGACGCCCCTGTGGACAGAGACCATGACGGTTACCTGTCAGGGGAAGTGTTTCCGCTGGAAGAAAACTGCGTTCTTTTAATGGAACAACCCTACACACATGTCTCAGAGGGAGCGAGCGTGCCAGAAAGCGCAGGGGCCCAGGTGCAGAGTGACAGCGGAGCGAACACGGCGTGCGAGGAGCTCTCCGGCCTCGAGAAGCCGTCTGTCCCCGTCCCGCCGGCACCGGCTCAGCCCCAGGCCCCGGACCGCGACCAGAGCTCGCGTGTGAGGACCTTCAACGGGATGACCAACGTCAAGCGGCATCGCAGGATTCTGCCCGAGGAGAAGCCCTTCGAGTGTGACGAGTGCCCGAAGGCCTTCAAGTACAAGTCCAAGCTCCTCGTCCACCAGCGCACGCACACCGGCGAGAAGCCCTTCGACTGCACCGAGTGCCAGAAGTCCTTCCGCACCAAGTGCCACCTCCTCCTGCACCAGCGAATCCACACCGGCGAGAAGCCCTACGGCTGCGTGGAGTGCCAGAAGTCCTTCCGCACCAAGTACCACCTGATCCTGCACCAGCGTAGCCACACGGGCGAGAAGCCGTACGCGTGCCAGGAGTGCGGCAAGGCCTACAAGGAGAAGACCAAGCTCAAGCTGCACTACCGCACGCACACGGGCGAGAAGCCCTTCAAGTGCGACTGCGGCAAGGCCTTCATCCAGCGCGCCAACCTCATCATCCACCAGCGCGTGCACACGGGCGACAAGCCCTTCCGCTGCAGCCAGTGCGAGAAGGCGTTCAGCAGCCGGCCGCAGCTCATGGTGCACGTGCGCATCCACAGCCGGGACACGGCCTTCGAGTGCCTGGACTGCGGCCGCGTCTTCGGCAAGCACTCGCAGTACGCCACGCACCGGCGCATCCACACGGGCGACAAGCCCTTCGCCTGCACCGAATGCGACAAGGCCTTCGTCATCATGTCCCAGCTGGTGGTGCACCGGCGCACGCACACGGGCGAGAAGCCCTTCGGCTGCGGGGACTGCGGCAAGCGCTTCAACAAAAAGTCCCACTTCGTGACGCACCGGCGCATCCACACCGGTGAGAAGCCCTTCGCCTGCGCCGACTGCGGCAAGGCCTTCATCGACAACTCGCAGCTGGTGGTGCACCGGCGCACGCACACGGGCGAGAAGCCCTACGGCTGCGGGGACTGCGGCAAGGCCTTCAACAAGAAGTCGTCGCTCATCACGCACCAGCGCATCCACACGGGCGAGAAGCCATACGCGTGCAGCGAGTGCGGGCGCGCCTTCATCGACAAGTCGCACCTCATCGTGCACCGGCGCATCCACACCGGCGAGAAGCCCTTCGAGTGCGCCGAGTGCGGGCGCGCCTTCATCCGCAAGGCCATGCTCATCGTGCACCAGCGCACGCACACGGGCGAGAAGCCCTTCGTGTGCTTGCAGTGCCAGAAGGCCTTCAGCAGCATGGCCCTGCTCAGCCGCCACCACCTCATCCACACCGGCGAGCGGCCACACGGCTGCAGCGAGTGCGGCAAGACCTTCCGCCAGAAGAGCCACCTGACCATCCACCAGCGCTGCCACACCGGCGAGAAGCCCTACGGCTGCGCCCCGTGCGGCCAGATCTTCAACCAGAAGGCGCAGCTGCTGCGCCACCAGCGCCGCCACACCGGCGAGCGGCCCCACCAGTGCGGCGAGTGCGGCAAGACGTTCTTCGAGAAGTCCTACCTGCGCGTGCACCTGCGGAGCCACGCCGGGGAGAAGCCCTTCCAGTGCAAGGAGTGCGGCAAGACCTTCGCGCTCGAGTTCTTCCTCGCCGCTCACCTGGAGATGCACGCGGAGAAGCAGCCCGCCACCGAGCGCAGCGGGGACTGGAAGGACTTCAGCGAGTGGCCAGCGGCCGAGTACAGGCGGGCGCCTGCCAGGAACAGCCCGTGAGGGCGTCAGGGTCGGGGGGCAAGGCTCTGTGGGCATCGCAGGCCGCAGGAGGAGCAGCGGGGAAGATTGTCTCCCAACAAGTTGGCCTCATTTTAGGAGGGAAAGCCAACCAAAACAGGAAAGGTACTCTGAATGAATAAGCTGTGTCATCGTGTCTTACGTGGGGACATTGCACTCCCCACGGCAAACAGGAAACCTTCTGAGTGCAACAACTGTTGTAACACTTTCCAGAAAACATTGGCCATCATAAATTAGGCTTCTGACGAAGGGGGGGAAAAACACTTCCATAGGTGATGTAAACGCAGAAACATCAAGTTAATAACTTTTCATTTTATACCAAAGAGTCTAGATGTCTCAAGACTTGTGACTGGAGGGGCCACAGAGATGAAGTTCGACTTCCTGTGGTCAGACGTATTTATTGAGGAGGAAAATGCAATCAGAGATGGTTGTTCCCAGAGAAAAGAAACCGTATGCTGCAAGTTTTAACCCTGCTTGTATTACAACGTTATCTAGAGAACACAGCACCAAACGAATGAGTTGCTAAGAAGAGGGGGCCTCCGTGCGCTAAATAACACTCTGTTACATGCTTGGGTCCAGCTGTGATGGCCTGGTGGTAAGGAGTTGGTGCTACCAACTCAGACGTAGCTGGTTCAAATCCACCAGTGACGCCGCGGGAGAAAGATGAGCCGTCCAGGCTCTGAAAACCCGCTGGAAGGTCCACTGTGAGTCATTTCTGACTCGACAGCAGTACGCTAGTTCTTGGGTTTTGAATATAGAGCATAGTCAGAGCCGTAAATTAAGATAGGTCCCAGATGTCTGCATTAACTTTGTGTCTTTGTTTTTTATAGAAGATCTGTACAGTGGTTTTCAGATTTCACAAGATGATGAAGGAGAATTGTCAGCCCTGAGCTTCCTGTTCCAGTTTTTGTATGTGGTAACTGTTGGAAAGGGAGCTCAGGTGGCCTCAGGGGTGAGGAGCTGAGCTGTCAGCCCAATGACAGGTGGTTCGAGTCCACCATCTGCTCCTTGGGAGAAAGATGCGAAATCTCCTGTGTGATTTACAACTTCTGGAAACCTGCTGGAGGGTCAGATGTGAGTCATTTCTGACTTGACGGTACACAGCGGTTACTATTGGGGAAAAAAATGCCAGTATTTTAAGTCTGTAGATGTTATAAATTGCAAGGAGTGTTCAAAGCAAACAAGAATTGTGCAGTATAATACTGTACAATTACCTACATGTTGATACATGTAAATGGTATTTGGTAAGGGTTTTTGTTTGTTTTTTTAACCCTTTTGAATGATATAACACCAAGCTTTTGTTAATGAACAAGTTTTCTTCTGGTTCTTGGGAAAAGATTGATTAGAAATAGTAATTAACCACAGCCCTTCTGTTCTGTGGATTAGACCAACTGATACTTCCCAAGAAATCAAGAGACACTTGTCACCTTTGCTGGTGGTATTGCGCAGATGGGAATTTGGCGTGGACTTAGCGTCAGGTGTACCTTTTACTGCCTCCCTTGCCCAGATCTAGCAATTTGGATATCGCTCTAAAGTGAGGCTCTGTCCGTTTCAGAGAAGACACTCTTTGACTCAGATCTCTTGACTCACATGCGTCATTCTTGCATGGAGGAGACCGAGAAGAAACAGTCCAGCACCGTAGCCTCAGATTTAAAATGCAGTGTCTCTCCACTGCAGACAGGCTGCCCATAGCCAGATTAAAAAGGGGCGTGGACCAAGTCACAGCCTTGAAATCTGATGACCATGTGACCCTTCATTTGCAGAGGAGTAGAAAGGCACTGGAGTGTAAGTCCTTTCTTTCAGCATGGTAAGTGAGGTAATTGGAAAATAACCTCCCTACTCATTATCTGAGAACAGCATGCATCATGTTGTTTTAAGAAAATAAACACTCGTGTCCCCCCCGCCCCTCTCTGGGAACAAGATCCTGCATCTTCTATCTGTGTGACCCAGCGAGAGAAGATCTCCATTAACAAGGTAGGAATCGAGTCTCGTCCAAGTGCTTTGTTTTAAATCTCCTACGTTATGGAATACTAAGCATGAAAAAACCTGTAGTTAAATGTATTACCAGAAAAAAAAGGTTGGGTTTTTTTTGTTTTGTTTTAGAAAAACTCAATTTAAGAGTCAGCCCATAGTGAGCCGGGGGAAAATCCTAACATTCATATTTATATTAGAACAGTGGTTCCAATTGCTTAAAGCAAAAAAATGGAAGAATGACAAGAAAAACAGAGCTCTCATTCGTAGCTGTCAGACCGCAGCTGAGTCCTCGCCGGCCGACCCCTGTGGGTTTCTGAGGCTGCGGGTCTCGGGGGAGATTGTCTGCCTGTCTGCAGAGGAGCAGCTGGTGGATTTGAACCATCAGAGCTGCACATGCCTTTGGACTCACAGCATAACCCCCTCCACGCTGCTCCACCACAGCTCCCTAGTCCATTTTAAAGGGCTGTTACGAAACAAGGTGACAGAATTGCCTAAAAAAAAGTACTATGTATTCTGGAGAATACAATTACCAAAACGACTTACTAGATTAATAAAACACTGCATTCAGAAATTTGCAAAACTCAGACTTCTTGAAAAGTCATGGAATATATTCCAATTTTACCATGTTCTGTGTTTGCTAGTAAGTTTCAGAGGTCTTTAAGGATATGCACTACGTATACCTTTGGTACACATGTCGCATGAAAGCACAGATACACCAGAATCAGTGAAACAAGTTAGCTAGAAAATTCTTCTCGTTTTGGAGATCAGATGATAAAATTATCCCACCAATCAAAGAAGGAGTCCTTAAAATTGGAACATACTTTCCCAGTATTGCATTCTGGTAGTTTATTTTTCCTTCCTTTTTTAAAAAACTGATGAATGGAAGTTTACAAAGCAGTTGGCTTTTCATTCACTTTGTTTATACAGATTCACCCCTCTCCTCCCACTCCGTTGCCTAACACGTGCCCTGTACCACCTTGTTGGTCATCTTTAAGCAAAAGGGAAGTGGGGAAGTGGAAAGACTAAGCAATAACGACTTACAGAATAAATTCATCAAGAATGTGACCTGTTTGCTACCTATTTTCCATTTTGTCAACTGCCTGTTTTCTTTCTGGTATTGGACTATTTGACGTAACCAGAAAAAAAGTCTTTTATGCAGGTACTCACAGCAGCACCGTTCCTGATACACCAACCTGTATATAATCTAATACGTTCGTCAACAGACAAATGACATTGTGGACGATTTCTCTCCAGAAACACAAAACGACCTGTACTCCTGTTTACCTGTGAAGCATGTATATAATGAACTTACTATAGATGTATAGAAATTAAAGAGATGAGATACAAATGCGTATTAGATGATTGGCATATATGAAATTGGAAGAATCAGAATTGCTCTTGTAAGAGTGGTGTGCTGGAGCTCTCTGTTCTGGTCTTGGTTCACCGCGGGACGGGGAGTTACTGACCTTCAGCACAGGCTGGGTCCTGTGGGGCACATGTCAGACGTTCTTATTCTCTCCAGCCTTTTCTTCCTTTATATTTTAAAACCAGTTCTGACACCCGCTGCTCCTCTGTACACAGAACTCACAGACCCAACTCCTGACTGTGGAGTTTATTAGGGAGGTAACAAGTTACAGTTCAGGATTCGGATTGACTTGGAGCGGCACAGCCAGGCCACGGTTCTTCAATCAGCAGAGTTTCTTTTCAGCTGCATCCGGGGACAGGTCTCTATCTGGCCGCTGGCCTTGTGGCCTGACCTCGGGCCTGCTGGAGCCTGTGTTACAAAGCTCTCTGGATTTCCCAACACGTTTCTTAAGGCTGCCTATCACGCCAGGAGGCCTCCAAGAAGCCCACAGCATCTCTGCTCCCACCATTCCCCTGGTTTCTTGAGATGTGACAGTGTTCTAGAAAGATTTACAGCTTTGGAAACTCTGCCCCCCCAGGGTCCCACAGGGTCACTCAGTTGCAATCAACTTGAAAGGCTGTAGGTCTGGTTTTGGGTATTGCATACTTTGGACTCTGCCATAACTGTAATTAGCTTAAACCCAAGGGAGGCCTGACACACACACACACACACACACACATACACCCCGCCCCCTAGGACTTCTGCTCAGTCAGCTGCCAACTCTGGGAATGCTAACCCATCACAGATGTGTTAGCTCTGCCCTTCCGCATACAGGGTTGGCTGTTTCGGCACCTGCAAATCCTCACTCTTCTGGACCGCTTGGTGAATTGCTTTCACTTTGCCTTCTCTGGTTTAATCTGTTCTTTGGTTCCACAATAAATGTAATCTTACCTGGACAGTTGTGGTACTTAATTCGCCCCCTCTAGTCCCGGACCTTCATTTTGGGATATAAATCTGAGCCTCTCTGTGGTTGTGGTTCAATTTCGGATCGAACCATCTGCTGTGTGAATACTGAAGGATTTGGGCAGGATGCATCTTGACTTACCACCTTCCTAGTTAATATGACTCGCGTCCCCACAATCCCTTACACGGGAGTTCCATTGAGGGTATGGTCTCCATCGATACATAGGAGTGCTCTGCTAATGTTCTCTCTCTCCTGAATTCTGTATCTTGCTTGTCACCATCTGAACCACAAGTTCTAAGAACCTACCAGTTTGGAGGAGTCAACCTCTAAAGTCACACGAATCGGGAAAAGTCTCCACAGTGTGGCTGTCTGATCCATGGCTTTGGAGTTTGCCAACCTCCACAGCCTTTTGACCTTATGAGCTATTTCCTTGAGAGTTTGAGCTCTGGGAGACCTGGCAGAGACGGGAGAGAGGAGGTGTAATTGATGTAGAGATAATGGGACGGCTCAGCAGTGTAGAATAACTGGACATTTGAGACATCTTTGTTTTCCACTTGGTAAGAACCAGCTTTGTGCTGATAATTCTCAAAATGTTCATCCAAGAACATTGATCTTTGACTGAACACCTGATAACATGCTCACTCCTATCACTGCAGCTTTCTCTACAATAGCAAAAAAATAATCCAGATGTCAATCACA